ACAGCTCAGCTGCAGGTCTCGGGCTCGATGCCCGGAAGGGCCCGCGCCGCCGGCGCGCGGCCAAGACGGCGAGCGCCGACTGACAGATCGGCGGGCTTTGCTCAGCGGCGGAATCCCCCAAAGAGCCTCCTCGCCATCCTCCTCCCCGCCCGCCTGGCCCTCGTCCAAGCCCTCCTCTTCCTTCTCCTCCTCCTTCTCCTCCGCCTCCTCCTCCTCCGCCTCCTCCTCCGCCTCCTCCTCCTCCGCCACCTCCTTTTCCTCCTCCTCATTGCCCTCCTCGCATTCCTCCCAATCCTGTTCGCCATACTTCCCGCCCTCATCCCAGCCCTGGCCATCGTTTTGGATCGGCGCTGGGCCCCCCTGGCGGCGCCCCCAGCGCAGCCTCTGGCGCGCTCCGCGCACCATGGGCGGGGGTCCTGCGCCGATCCGAGAAATCCACTCGGAGCTCCGAAAGTGTTATTATACCCTCGTCATCCTCTTGCAGGCGCCGCCACGGCGCTTCTCCCCACGCGTGCTGTGCTTAGTAGGCGAGCCCATCTCGGGCCTCTTTCTTCCTCGTCTGCATCCTTCCTCCTCCCCCTCTCCCTCCCCTAGTGCCTAGCTTTCTGCCCCAGACTTCACATGCAAGCGAGTTCTGAGGCGTCGGAGCCTTCAATGAGCTCCTCATTGGGCCCTCCTTTGGGTACTCGGATTGCTCCAGGGTGGTCTCATCTGTCAAGGCTCGGGTAGCCAACCAGGCTTCGTCCAAGAAGCTGTATGGTGGAGCCCTTTTGAATGTGTCGTCGAGCTTGGACTCATAAGCTTTCTATTATAAAGCGCACGCAATTCATGACGGCACTTTTAAGTCAATGAGCCAGCAGATGCGTTGCGAAGCGTGGTGCTTGGAGCCACCCGCAGGCATCTGCACTCGAGATCTGCGTAATAGATGAGTGTATTCCAGTGGCCCGCAGGGTTTGCGGGCTCAGACCATGCCGATCTGGCGGAGGCTGAGCCTTGATAGCGTTGCGCGAGGTCACACGGTCGGTCGTGCCCAGCCAAGCTTGATGTGAAAGCGTTTCGCACGAGCGGATTTGATGTCGCTCCGTTTGGCGATGCCAGCGCTGCACGAAGCGCAAGAGCCTGGATGTTCTGCCTAAGCCTCCGAGCGACGGCTAGTCTGGCGAGTTATCCGCGATTGCCTTCGAGGTTGGGCGGCGTAAGCACTCGCTTAAGGTATTATCTTGTACCGACGATACGTTGCTACACGCGTGCCAGACATGCAGAACGGATACAACACGGGACTGTCCCGCAATCACAACATATGCATTACAGTTGCCTCCTGCACTTGGGGAAGACCTCTTAAAGGGTAAACACTCTGATACGGTCCACTTATTGGTGGAGTCTATGTGTTCTTCGTCTAGCGTGGGCATGTACGCTGGTGGAAACATTGTATTATGAATCCCCCTCTCCCCCTCATCTATCCTTGTTCCTCCCCTCACTGCCCCTCTTGTTTCCTCCTCTCTACTCTCTCCGTGCATTCTCCTCTCTCATCCGCTCTCAGTGTTGTGTTATCGTTTCGCTATTATCCTCCTCTCGTGTGTCTCCTTCCTCCTCCCTGGATATTGGACCGCCATCTTGGATCACCATCTTGAACGGTCATCTAGGAGCATATTGGACCACGTTGAATCACCAGATCGAACCACCTCGGACCACTTTCGACTACAAAGCACCAGTATGGACCATATGGAGCCACAAGTCGCCACCATCTTTGACCACCATCTGCGACTTCATTTGACCGTCGTGGACCACAACCTTGGACCATATTGGACCACCTTGCGGAGCGTCATGGACAATATTGGGCCACCATCTTTGGCCCTTGCTTGACACAGGTTTCACCATCACCTTTGACAATCGCGGACCACCATATAGGGCCAATTTCGAGCACCATATTCGGACTTTGCCCGACCACCATCTTGGACCGCCATCTTGCACCATCCTGAACGATGTCGGGCAATCTTGGACCACTAGGTTGGACCATATTGGATCAACCTATGAAAATTTTTAACCATTTAGGACACTATTGGGCCTCCTTGGACCACCACGTTGGACGAACATGTTGGACGATCATCTTTTACCAGCTTGAAAGACCATCTTGGACCATCTGGAGCGTTGCATGCTCGAAGATGGTCCCAGATGGCGGTTCAAGCGGTAGCGGAGGATCTGGTGGTACAGATTGTGTAGTGTTCGTATCCAGCACGTGGATCCCTCAATGAGGCTGTCATTGTGGATAGTATCGGACCTTCGGGACCATCTGGGGCAACATTTTGGACCGCCATATTGGACCATGTTAGATCAACATCTTGATGGAACAACCTTGGGCCGAATCTTGGGCAACATGTCGCAACATCGGGCTACGGTCGGGAACTTTTGGATAGCGTGTCGCTCCGCCAGTTCTGGCCCAGGCGCGCCTTGGCGCGACACGCTACCCGCCTCCTGGCCGCCCAGCGTCAGCGCCCCGATATTTCCCGATCCTCCCGCCACGCGGAGCGGAGCGACACGCGATCTGCTCGCAGGGCACAGCGTGTCGCCGGGGCCGCCGGGGTGACACGCTGAGCAGGAGGTCCCGACCGCATCCCGGACCGCCAGCTCGGATCAGCGTGGAGCAATTCGGACCACGCTGGACCACCTGCGCGGCGGACGCCGGCGGGAGAGGAGCGCGGCGGCGGGGGCGACGCCGGGGGCGGAGGACGAGCAGGAGATTTGCGATGACAAGGACGAGCTGGACGACGACGACGACGACGACGACGACAACGACGAGGAATAAGGTAAGGGAGAGGGCGGGAAAAAGGAGGGTAAGGGGGAGGGTAAGGGGGAGGAGGATAAGGGGGAGGACGACCAGGACGAGGGTGAGGGGGAGGGCGAGAAGGTGGAGGGTAAGAGGGAACGCGTTAAGCGGAGGATAGCAGCGACGAGGTCGAAGAGGAGGGGATAGGCCGCAAGTAGGAGAGGCAGAAGGAGCGGGAGGCGGACGAGGATGATCAGGATCGGGAGGAGCAGGGGAAGTCCGTTCAGGAAACATAGTGACGACTTCGAGGAGGAGGAGGAGGAAGAAGAATACAGGAAGGAATAGGAGGAAGGAGTAGGAGCAGGAGGAGGGGGAGCGCAAGCAGGGGAGGGAGGAGGAGGAGGAGGAGGAGGAGCAGCAGCAGCAGCAGCAGGAACTTCGAGCAGGAACAGGTACAGAAGCCGGAGGAACACGAGGAGCCGAAGGAGCCCAGGGAAGGAGGGAGAATTGAGCGGAGCGGCCAGCCCGACGAAAACATCGACATCCAGATTTCGGTTTCGCCCCCGCCCCCCCTCCCCAGACCCCCTCGCATTGTGAAAGAATCGCGACGGGAAGTTTCTCGCTATTTTCGGCTTCGGGGGGCCCTTCCGGGCCCTCGGGGCCGTCAATCAAGGACTCAGGACGAAAAGCCGGTCCCGCGTCGTGACGAATTCATATAGCGTCGGGGGGGTGGGTCTCCCCCTCCCCTGCCTTTCAGTCGGGCGCGTCCTTCTACAGGGGGAATATCCACAAATTGTATATTTTCTATGTATGACACATTTGACAAGTTTTGACAATGTCCCTCTACAGGATGATTATTATTGTGAAATTTTGTTTTTTTTGTTTTTTGTTCGCCCCAAATCCGCCTGCAGGAGGACATGCCAACCTAACCGCACCTTCTCCCTCCCGCCCTCGGCTCGCGCAGCTGACGAGGGCCTGCGACCCTGACTGGCCTCGACGGGAGGCTGGCCCGGGCCCGCTCGAGAGCAGACAGCGGCCGGAGCCCGACGCGGCGTGGGGAGCAGCAGCGGCGGGGCGAGGAGGCGGGCGGGCGAGCGCGAGCGGGAAGCAGCGGCCCCCAGCAGGCAGCAGGGGGCAGGAGGCACCCCAGACGTCCGCCGAGATAGGTTTTTTTGCCGGCGGTGCACGAGCACCTCGCGGCGCCGTGCAGAGGATGTGAAGCAAAAGGGCCCACAAAAGAGAAGAAGGAACGGGTGCTACGCGCTGGGATCTCCTCCTTTTCCTCGCTTCCTCCGCTTGGATGGCGGGGGGATCGGAGGCAACGTGCCCGTGCACCCGGGCCGATCTGATTCTCTCGATCCGCGGCCCCAGGAGGTCCCGACCCCTTCCCCGAGGAGGTAGTTTTTCGCCTCGGGTCCACGTTTGAAGCCGGGCCCGATGTCGGGGATGGACAGAACCCCCACCCTGACACGTCGATTAGTGAATTGTCCACTTTCGGTACTCGAGAGGGCGCTGCGGCCGTCATTTTCCAGGCCTGTGCCCGCCAGGTTTGGCCCCGAGGTCGTCTTCATTAAATCACGTCTTGCCAGAGGGGGCTCTGTCCATCCCCGACGAGAACGGGCTGCAGGACGCCGAGCTCCAGGGAAAACCGCCGGGCTGAACAAACATCAGGTCCCCGGACCTCTGGCACCGCAGCTGCGCGGCCCCGGCCGCCTCCTCCCCCCCCCCTCCCCGCGACCAGCGCCCCGAGAGGAGGGGCCCCGGAGCGGCTGGCGGCTGGAGGCCATCGAGGGCCGCTCGCAGGGCGCGGCGCCGCGTGGATGACGCGGCGCGTCCCGGGGGCGCCTCGCGGCCGGCGTCGGGGCGGGGGGGGGGGAGGGCGTCGGCCTCACACGCCACCACGGCTCCTGGCCAGAGGCGGCGGCGCGGGGCTCGAGCGAAGCATGCTTGCCGTTTTCGGCCTGTCTTGCTCGCGTGCCCTCGGTCCGTCTTCCTATAGTGCCACTGCCTTCAGCACGGGCTGGGAACGGAAAGGGCCCACGGAGTTGCCAGAACGCCGTGTATATAGCTCGAGCCCTGCAGTGTCGTGCGCCTCCCTCGCCAAGCCACGGAGGTCTAGGCCTCCCAGATGGTGTCGGAGCAGAAGGGGTCGGAGGATCGCGCCGCATCGCCGATGCATCGGCGATGCGGCTCGATGTGGGGCCCAATTTTCTCCACGCCGGCGTCGCGGACGCATCGCCGACGTCGCCAGTGCCTGGCCGTTGCATCGCCGATGCATGGGCGATGCATCGGCGATGTACCGGCGATGCGGCGAGATCCTCCGACCCCATCTGCTCGGACCCCATCAAGGAGGCCCCCAGGAGGGGGCGTATGACCCCCGATCTTGCGCGCAGGATCTGCCTGGACGGGGTGGTTCCTGGGACGCAGCCTATCGGAGCAGCTAGTGGGGCGACAGCGCGCCCCTTGCCCCGTCCCGCCTTCCTTACCTTTCCGCACAGCCTCAAGTCGTTCATGCCCCTCTACGGGAGGAATGCTCAGAAGCCGTCATAAAGAAGTCAGGGTACCACTGTTTTGTGCTCCTTTGACTGTTCTCGGGTACGCTTGACCATCTGTTCTTCCCAAATCCGCCTGCAGGAGGACATGCCCGACCTAGCCCCTGCCCTGCCCCGCCTCCCCCTATCCTTTATGCAGAGCCCGCACGTGGAGGCAGGCGTGCGCCGACAAGAAGCAGCGCCTGCGGTCCCTGCGCCGTTGTTGCAATGTCCAGGCCACGATTCTTGGCATTGCTCGGACGTGTGCATTGTTCCTTCGGCGAGGACCATCGAGGAGCATCCTTGATCATTTGGCGAAAAAACCACGCACGAAACCGAACAAAAACACAGGGAATGGACGTCCGAGCGATGGCGAGGATTGCACCTCGTGTTTTCACGCGTCCGCTGTGCATGGCGCCTCGCCACGCGCTCGCTCAAGCAAGATGCGATGCTCCTGAGGCCTGCGCCAAAACAGCCATGCGCAGGCCGCACCTGCAACCTGCGCTTCGGCGCGCCAGCGGTGCCTGCGCCTTGCCGTGCGCAGCGCCTGCGCCGACGAGACGCAATGCCTGCAGTGCCCGCGCTGGAACAAGCTTGCCTGGCCCACTCCTGCGCTCGATGTTTGACGTGCCTGCGCATTGCCGTACGCAGCGCCTGCGCAGGCAGGAGAATGTTTGAGGGGCCTGGACGAAAACATGGACGCCTGGGCCAAGCCCGCGCTCAGTGCTTTGCCTTGCTTGCGGTACCTGCACGCTGCCTCGCGCAATGCCCGCACCGAAGAGCAATGCCAACCTTGCGGCGTTTCATCTGCACACCCATGCTTGTCAGCCAAGTCGCGGAGTCCAGGCGCAGCGCTCCACTTCTTCTTCTCTCACATGTAAAGTGGGATTATTTGTTTTTATCTGGGCAGCCCTGCGCAGGACCCTTACCCTCCTCCCCTCTCATCGTCGCCATCACCGCCATCCTCATCATCAGCATCAGTATCGCCATCATCGTCCTCCTTCTCCTCCTCATCGCCATCATCAGCATATTCGCTTTCATCCGCATCAACAACATCATCATCAGCAGCATCATCATCATCAGCATCGTCACCATCACCTTCACACACCATCATCACACCACACCATCACCACACCACACCATCACACGCAATCGCACCATTACTTGCACGCGCAAACACACCAATTCTTCATATCGTGCACACGCTCTCCGAAAACTCGCACATCAACATCTCTCTCACACACGCACATGGACGAACGCACAACCCACTCGTCAAACTCACACACCATTCCTGAGCAGCTTATGGGGAGGTCTCGCGCGGGGGGGCTTATCTGTGAGCGAACTGCGAGGAAGTCTCGGGCGGCACCCCCACTCCGAGGCGGTCGTCGGCTTCAGTAGTGCCCCAACTTCATAATCCGAAGCGGTCATCGGCAGATGCTCCAGGCATAGCACTTGAGCTTCCCAAGGTAGCTGATGGGGGACCTCCTTCAGCAGGGCCTCCGTCTTAGAGCGAATTGCGAGGAAGTATCGAGCCAGAACACCCCCCTCTCTCTTAAAAGGCCCACGCTTCCGCACAATAACCCGAGGCGGCCATCGGCATATTGCACCAGGCATAGCATTTGAACACCCCGCTGGGGTATTTGTGTGTGTGTTTGTTTAGCAAGCATCAAGAGCGGGTACCTCGTCTGTGAGCGAGTTGCGAGGAGTCTCTATCGAGAGCCCTTGTCCTACGGGGCACCCACTTCATGCCGTTAACCCAAGAGTGCCTCCGGAAGGTTGTAGCTGTCGTCACACTGGGCCTCTTGAGGGTTGCATGCTGAGGACATCTCGAGTGGGTGCCTCGTCTGGGACTCGATGTTTAGGGCGCCCCGAGCGCGAGCCCCTCCCTCGTGGATTCCCACATCAGGTTCCTAGCCCGAGGGGGTTATGAACCATGTGCATCGGTCGTCCCGTGCGCGTTGGCTTGAACAACGAGGAGGCTCCGAGCGGGAGCCTCGTCCGTGAGCGAATTGCGGGGAAGTTTCGAGCGGGAGCTCTTGCCTATTGGGGTCCCCACCTTATGTTTCTCATCCGAGGGGGTCATGTCAACTTGTCGCTGTAGCCGTGGGGCTCCTGCGGCTTAAATATTGATCATGCCTCGAGCGGGGGCTCCTCTGCGATCGAGCGGGAGTCCTTCCATATGGGCTCCCCACCTTGTCTCTGTTTAGTGGGGAGGGGAGGCATGTAACACCTGCCACCGTCGTCACACTCGGGCCCCTGAGGCTTGCACATCGAGGATGGCTCAAGCAGGGGCCTCGCCTGATGTGCGGGGGCCTCTCGAGCGCGAGCCCCTCCCTACGGGGCCCCCACACTGCGTGTCGAATCCGAGGGGGCATGCAAACCCTGCAGCCGTCGTCACGCTGGGTCCTGGAGGCCCGGGCGGGGCCCCTGTTGGTGAGCGGATCAGCCCACCCCTCACATTGGTAAGCCGACCAGCCGCTTTTTCTGGCTTCTCAGCGAGCGGCACTGGGGCGTCTGAGCGGCGTGCTCCGCACAGACGAGGAGGAGGAGAGGCACGAGGACGAGAGAGGAATGAGGACGAGGAGGCGAAGACGGAGGAGGAGGAGGAGGAGGAGGAGGAGGAGGAGGAGGAACAGGCAGGCAGAGGAGGAGGAGGCACGATTAGGAGGAGAAAAAGGAGGCGCCAAGAGAAGCGGGAGGCAGGAGGAGGCAGGATGAGGAGATGGAAAAAGAACGTGAGGCGGCAGGAGAAGAAGACAAACGAGGAGGCAGGAGGAACGGCACGAGGATGGCGGCGAGGAAGCGGGAAAAGGAGCAGGAGAAGGCAGGCGGAGAAGGAGGATACAGGAGGAGGAGGAGGGGCAGGAGGAGGAAGAGGAGGAGGAGGCACGATGAGGCATGAGCAAGGGCAGGTGGAGACAGAGACGTGGAAGGCATGATGAGGCAGGGGATCCACAGCCACAGCAACACCAACAATCATACGCACACGGATTGCCCTTGTGCAAACAAAGGAGATTCTACTGCGGGGCCCCACCGTTGTCCGCTGACGTTCGATACCACAGCCTGGAATCAGGGTAGTGCCCAAAAGGACGCGGGCGGCATCGCCAGAGGCGCGTCGACAGCGGTGACGGCGACGGCGGCGAGATAACGCTTGCGGCCACGTCGCGAGATCCCTAGCACGGCGCCGCGGCGCGCATTCCCCCCCCCCGCCCTGGCACGCTGTTCTCGGTAGATGATGTGGTCAACACGCTGGGCAAAGGGTAAGGCGTAGGAGTAGGAGCTTGGGGGTGAGCAATCAGTCATGTTAGCCAGGTCGATCGAGTCAGAGGGCTCCGCCTATCCCGACCCTCCCTCCCACAGCATAATAATCACTTGTGGCACAACCTGGTATTGGGATTGGAACGCGCTCCCACCTCGCAAACGGACGGCACTCGCGCGCTGCGCTGCTTCACTTCCGACTGCATGGCGAAGGGAAAACTACGCGGGACGCTTTGGGGCGGGAGCGGTACAATTTCCGATGGGCGCGGCGAATACAGAGCCTGCGCCGCGCTGACACAGCACTTCGACTTTCACGCACGAGCTGCGCGGCGCTTGGACGAGGTGGGCATTTCGCCCGCTCTCGCGCCGCCTCGTTGCCGCTGTCGCTCTCGTGCGGCTCGGTGGCGAACCGTGCGCCGCGCCCGTGCGGGAACGCCAGCCTCCCAGCGACATGCGCAACGAGGCTGGGCGAGGGCGACACCTCGCCCACCTCGCGTGGGCCCCCCCCAAAAAAAAATTGGCGGCTGAAGAAGAGACGCCGCGGCGAAGCGGCAACGAGGTTGGGCGAGGGCGACACCTCGCCCACTCGCGTGGGCCCCCCCCAAAAAAAAAATTGGCGGCTGAAGCAGAGACGCCGCGGCGGAGCGGGAGCGCCACTCCGGGCGCGAAGTCCTTGCCCGCGCGCGCGTCGGCGCAGCTGCGTTGCGTGCGCAAGGCATTCGCGCCGCGCCCGGGCGGGAGCTCCGCGATCCAGAAGCACGAGAGCGGCGCCGAGGCGAGAGAGCGACACGTCAGGTTCTTCGCGCGGGGCGTGCGCCCCGCTCCGCTCGCGCCACGCCGCGCGCCACGTGGACGGCGGGACGCCCACGGTTCTGTGGCATCCGGGCGTGTTTGACTGCTGCCCGCGCGCGCAGGACAGAGGTTCCCGGGTGGGGCAGCCGAGTGTGGGGCAGCGTAGGAGCAAACACTGATACGTAAGGCATATCAGTCCAGGTGGGCTGAGCGGGCCACAGCGGGCCCCAGCCCGTATCCTCC